TTGCTCTGAAGGGCTGCCAGATCTCACCGTCCGAGCGTGAGACGCTTTTCGCTGCTTCCTGCCGCAGGAAATCGGCGGGAGACCCACCGAGGCGGCGTGAAGCATCAGGTGGAACGCAATTCCCCCGGGGCGAGCGGGGGCACCCAACCACAATGAGGGGGACTTGCAAACCTCCCGGACGAGAAACACTTAATTGAACCCCCTCCTGACCAGCCCACACGGGGCCCAGGCTGGGGAGGTAACGCCACAAGGCCTTACAGCCGGGATGGCAGCGTGGGGGTTGGGGCCGACAGACCCGCCGCTTCCCAGAGCTCCACTCCCTTGTGTTTTACTTGTGCTCTCTGCCCTGAAATGCAGCTGGCTCTGGGGTGGAACGTGGCAGCTGATTAGCAACAAACAGGGAATTAGGCCTCCTGGCTCTATTTGCTAGTGACCTTGAGCAAGACTCCTCCCTCTCTGCCTCCATTTACCCCCGGGCAAGCTGGGAGAAGGGGCATTTGCATGCCCCAGGGGTGTCTAAGTGCTGGGAGACGCTCCCTTGCAAGGCCCCGTCATGCCAAGAGTTACAATTAGCAATGGGCAGTGTTTTACCTGTGGGTGCCTGGCCCCGAACACCAAACACTGGCCATGCCTTTTCCAGCAGCTTACGCTTTATTAGGCTGCGGCGCCTGGGCACGCGGGCGCTGCACGGTGAGGATGCTGGGTTTGTTGGTGAACGGATGCCACTGGCCCTGGATGCTGGTGCGGATGCGGATGATCTCCAGCCCCGACTGCGTGACCAGCTTCTGGACCAGCTGCGTGATCTCCTCCACCGACTTGTCAGCGATGAGCTCTTCCCGCACGGCTCCGTTCACTGGAAGAGAGAGCAGCCTGGGTGTTAGCGCTGCTGGGAGGGGAACCCTGCTCTCCTCTCACCGGCCATGCAGCGGGATCTAAGCTGCAAGCCGCACAGATGTCTTTGAAGGCCGGGGACATAAAAGAGACGCAGCCGCAAGGCCAGTAATAAAACATGCCCAGCGGCGCCTCAGTGAAAGGGAGCCCTATGGGAGCTACCTGGACTCCCCCCATCACTGCGATGCAGCCACCTCTGGGGTGGGACGTGGCAGCTGGTTAGCCCTGCACAGCCCCACTGCACAGGACCTGGGGATGGGATATGAAGGAGAAACAATGTAAACGACAGAGGGCTTGGGGCCCCCACTTGGGCTAAGTCTACACTGGCAAGTTATTCTGGAAAATCAGCCGCTTTTCTGGAAAAACTTGCCAGCTGTCTACACTGGCCGCTTGAATTTCCGGAAAAGCACTGACACAGGGGGATCTAAGCTGCAAGCCGCACAGAGGTCTCTGAAGGCCGGGGACATAAAAGAGACAGCACAGTAGTGTTTTCTGCAAAAAAGCCCCGATCGCGAAAATGACGAATGGGGCTTTTTTGCGGAAAAGCGTGTCTAGATTAGCCACGGACACTTTTCCGCAAAACGTGCTTTTCCGGAAAAGTGTCCTGCCAATCTAGACACTCTTTTCCGCAAATGCTTTTAACAGAAAACTT